ACTATGTTGTCGATCACAAAGAACCACATTAATAGTCACGTGATCACATTACGCCCTCTTTCCAAGGACAAGACGTTAAACTAGACACTGCAAGTCGCCAGCTAGAAACTTTTCCTACACATTATACGGTAAGGAAAACCTGTGGTATAGCCTAAGAACAAGGCAGGTAATTCTCCAGCTATAGAAACTTCTCCTACACATGTATACTTAGGCATTATTGTGCCGGTGAAAAGGTACGCTAAAATGAATCCAAATACCTTCCTCTACCTCTTTAATCTCTGCATTTCTTCTCTGGTTTTATGTGCTTGCAAAAGTCTTTATGGTATTAGAGCACTGAGCTCAAGCTTATTCGAGCTTTCATACTCCCGCTAATTTTACGTTCGGTTCTTCTATATGAACCCGATCCTTGGGAAATGTCTAACTTCTAGTCATTTGAAAATCACAACTCCTCTTCCCTATCTTAAATCTTTGACAAGGAATATTAAACACCTCAACTAAACCCCACTATCAGCAGACAACTACCCAATATGGAAGGAACAAATCGTCAAAGTCTTTAGGGCAAATGGGTTTCTAAGTTTCCTGGACGGCAACACACCATGCCCTTCAAAATTCTCAGAAGGAACCACGGATCCACTGGTTACGAACCCACATTCTGCTTCCTGAATCTTAATAGAACAAAACCTCACAGCTGCGCTCTACTCCATAATTTCCACATCAATACTACCTTATGTTGTGCATCTACTTAAATTTGGCTTACTATTGCCAAACGCCTGTAGACTACAAACTATTTGAGACTCATCCAACTAAAGAATGAGCTCCATCACCTATCGAAGAACAATCCGAAAATGATGCAATATCTCTCTAGCATCGAGACTCTGGTCGACAACATCACCGATGTCGATGGACACCTGGATCGTGAAGATATTATTATCTACACAATCAACAGTCTTCCCTCTACCTACAAAACTTCCAGACAACAATTCATACTCAACTACAACCTATTGACTTAGATGACTTATATTCACTTCTCTGTAGTGAGGAGATCAACATAACAAGCGATAACCAGAAACTAGACCAAACTTCTAAGCCTCAACTAGCTCTCAAAGCCACCCGTGGTCAGACGTTCTCTCCTGCTCAAGGCAGTGGCATAACTCAGAACAATCCTCGTTCCAAGGGTGGCCGAGGCACACCCAAACACTTAGTGACTTGCCAAATCTGTAACAAGTTTGGTCACTCGATCTCTCGACAGCCACACGTCGGCATCAGTCCAACCTTTAGTATATTCTCCCAAACAAGCCTTCCAAACAAAATCCTCAAATTAGATCTTGGAGTGCTACAACACATCTTACTTCAGATTTTAACCACTTAAAACTTGCTACTCCAGCAACAAAAGTTGAACAAGTCACTGTGGACACCAATCAATCTGAGCCTGTGGTACATACGGGTGATGGCATCCTTTAGATGCCTCACCGTAAGTTGCTCCTACCCAAAAAATGATACTTTCCATCTCTTTTCTATAATCTATTATTTGTTCATAAATTGATTCATGACAATAATGTTGCTATCCTCTTTGACCAAAATGGCTTTACTATCTTGGATCCTAAGACGAAGAAACGTCTAATCTAGGGAACCAGTTTTGATGACTTGTACTCGATCTCCTTTCTTCCGCCCAACCCCTGCGCTCTTGCCACCTCCACACAACAGTTGACTCTCTGCACAAAAACCTTGTACATCCATATCCAGATGTTCTCAAGCTACTCTCCAAAATTCAACTCAACTTAGGCATAGAAATACATCCTTCTATATATAATAGTTGCAGTTGCAAAAAAGTTATAAACAACCTCTTTTGTTTCCTACTTTACATACATATGCATCTTTGCATTTAATACACTGTGATGTATGGGGTCCAGCCCCAATCTCACCTACTCAAGGTTATAAATACTAATTACTTTTTGTTAATGATTTCTCGTATTTTTTTTTTGGGTGTTCCCTCTGATGTATGGGGGTCAGCCCCAAATGTATTCAATTCATTAAAATGATTCAAACTCGATTTAACACAACTACCCATATACTTCGATCCGATGGTGTGGATGAATAGAAAAACGACTTCCTTCAAAACTTCCTTCAACAAAATGATATCCTTCATCAATTATGTGCCCTCATACGCTAGAAAAAAATGGGGTTGAGGAACACAAACACCGGCACCAACGCCTCCCTTCCCCTTCATTTTCGGGCGGACGATGTCCTTGCCACAACTTATCTCACTAACAATGTCATCTAAAAATACCAAATTCCAATCCCCATATGAACTCACTATCAACATCAACACCTATTTTAATCTCAAAGTGTTCGGATGTCGATGTTAGCCATGGCTATGACCTTATACAACACATTTAGACTTGCACCCCGCTCTTAGCCTTGTGTATTCCATGGGTATTCCCCTAACCATAAGGGCTTCAAATGATACCAACCCAGTTCCGAGATGTTCTAAATTACTCGGCACGTTACCTTTGACGAAAATACTATTTCATATCAATCATCCCCCTCTTCTGCTACACCTCCATCACAATCTATTTACACGGTCATTCCTCTCCTACTTGTTCCCCCAACCGTATGCTTCCCATCGCTATCACTATCTCAAAGTGACCCCAACCCTCTCCAACAACTCACGATACTCACACCCCTCAAAAAACCGTCCACTACTCCAATCCCACTTGATTTAGCGCCAACACCATTACCTCCAACAGTGAATCCCACTCTGCCTCATCATACGCTAACCCGCATGAAGACTAGCCATACGAAGCTCATTACCAAGCTAAATCTTCTGCATCGATTTAAACACCCTCCAGATCTGACTTCCTACACACAACGGGCCAAGCATGCCCATTGAAGTTCCACCATGAATGACAAAATCTTTGCTCATCTAACTCAAGGTACTTGGGTATTAGTTTCACCATTGGTGAATCAACCGATCTTTTAGTGTTACTGGAATTATTGCACGAAATACAATTCATATGGGACAGTGACAAGGCTTATAAAACCATAATTGTTGTGCAAGTCTACAATCAAGAATACGAAGTTAACCATCACGAGACATTTAGTCCAATGGCCAAGATGACTACCCTTCATGGGTTCTTCACTATTGCTTTCAATAGGCACTGGCCTATGTCACAATTTGATGTTTCCAATGCTTTTCTGCACGACACATTACTTGAAACGGTATATATGAAGCAACCGGCAGGTTATATCGATTCACAATTTTCAAATTACGTATGCTTACTTAAAAAGGCATTATACAGCCTCAAACCGTCTTCGCGGCAATGGTTTGCAACTATTTCGGAATTATTTATACAAGAAGGTTTTCACATCAGCAAGATAAACCCCTCGTTGCTCATCTCACAAATTCAGGTCGCAAGATCTTTATACTTCTTTATGTCAAGGACATATTAATTACTGGGGAAAGTATGGCAGCAATTCGATCCCTTACCACTCGCCTTAGCGCAAAATTTCAAGTCAAACAATAGGGCTCCGTCTCTCAATTTTTAGGCATTGATGTCACTCGAATAGAAAATTTCTTATTTCTTGACCAGCATAACTATCTTACTCAAATCCTTCTCAAATCCAACATGATATGTTGTAAAGCGGTATCTACACTATTGCCAAGCAAGCGGGGCAATCTTCAACATAACACTCATCCTTTAGTGAATCCTACTGAATTTTAAAAGATCACGGTGGCACTTCAATATTTAACAATCGCGCACCCGAATATCACAACTGTTGTGAACCTCCTATGCCAACACATGTACAATCCTGCGAACTAACAATTTCAGCTTTTGAAACAAGACTTACGGTATTTACATGATCCCACCAACTATCATTTTCAGCTTTTGAAACTGTTAATATGGTATTTACATGGCGCCATAGACTATGGTCTCAATAACTAACATGGTGGTCTAACCTTAAACACCTACACAAATATGGATTGGGTTGGGAACACGACAAAACCACAGGTCCACCGCTAGTCTTTGTATGTTCCTGGGTAATACCCCTATATCATGGATAGTTAAAAAGCAACATATCGTTGTCCGTTCCTCCACCGAAGCCGAGTAATAGCGGACGCAACTTTAGATATAATCCGGTTGCAACCCTTTCTCACTGAATTTGGGGTGGTTCAACCTCATCCCACAAAGATCTCCTGTGACAATGTCTCAGTGATGGCCATCACTACTAATCCGGTGTTCTATGCTCATACCAAACATATCGAGATCGAATACCACTCCATTCGTGACCAAATACAATATGGCTCCCTTCAAATTCACTACACAGAACCAACCCACTGATATCTTCACTAAACCTCTGCCGAAACAAAAGTTTAAGTTTGCTACAAATCTCATCCGCTTGAAGGGGGTAACAACCCAATCACAAAATGTTATGGTGAGTCAGACCTGCGGTATAGCCTAAGGGCAAGGCAAGTAAATCTCCGGCTCTAGAAACTTCTCCTACACAAGTATACTTACGGATTACTGTACCGGTAAAAAGGTACGGGAGAATGAATTATTCCAGGTACCTTCCTCTACCACTTTTCTCTCTGCATTTCTTCTCTGAGTTTATGTGCTTGCAAGAGTCTTATAAACAAGCTTCAAAAGACACGCAATTGTCTAAACTGACTTATAAGATTCCAAGCTCATCAAGCTAGAAAACATAAAACCAAAAGTATTTCTCCAAAACCATTCTTGTATTTCAACACTTACTCCTAATTTCCTATACAGCAATTTAAAACATCAAGCATCATCCACCCCACCCACGTATAACGGAAACCAAACCCCGTCTAAACCTCATATAACTTTGTTCCCCACAGACAAAATCAACAACAAGACCATTCTCACAAAGCGAAATTCGAGAGTTTTCCATTTCCCCAAAAATGTATCTCGGATTAAAAGAGTTGGTCCGGATTCAACAAAATCTATGGTCGAAGAAAAGAGGAAAGGGATTAGACTTACGAGGACGGCACGGTGGGCGGGGACGGCGGGGGTGAGGGCGGCGTTAGCTCCGTCTTGTGATTCGGACACGCCGTGGAGCAGCAGATCGGCATTGGAGTTGGCGAAGTGGGAGTCGACAGGCGGGGAGAGGCGGAGGAAGGCAACCTTTGCTTTTAGGTCTTCGATTTCGCGCTTCAGCTCTTCCTCTGTCTCGCTCGCCTCCTCGTAGCATTCCTTGCAGGTTCCAGCGTCCTTCTCCTTGTACTCTTCTCGGCACGACTGGCACCACATTCTCATATTTCTCTAAATCGACTACCCTCGGTGGCCGTGGGGGAAGCTGTATTTATTGAGGGCCATTTACATATAATCTATAATATACTGTATTTATAATTTCTTAATAACACCCAAAACTTTTTAATAGCACAAAAATATTACACCCTTCATTTCCGATTATAATAGTAGGGCTGTCAAAACGAGCATTGTTCCTCGGCTCGTTCGTTATGTTAATAAGGGCTCGTTTTGACTCGAAATACTATTAATTATATATATATATATCTTTGATGAGTATTATTTTAAAAAAAATTAATTGACTACAAGACTACAAAGATTTATAATCAATTAAAAGTATTAACAAAGAAAATAAAATAAAATTATTAATTTAGATTTAAATGATGTTTTAAATCTTGCTTCAATCCTTAACATCTTATGGTTACGTGATTAGGGTTGTCAAAACGACTCTTTGTTCATGAACGGCGCGTGTTTGGCTTGCTAAGCAAACGAGCCGAACACGAACACACTTTTTGAGTTCGAAATATGTCGCTCGTGTTCGGCTCGTTTACACCCCTATATAAGAGGATGAAAAATCTCCCCATTTTTATTCACTTAAATTTCTCTACTTTTCCTCTTTTGTTATTTTTCTTACTTTTGTGGTAGGAGTAACAATCTGTCTTATAGTCCACGAAAAAGTAGAAAATTTTATGTCCGGACACTGCACGTCCTGACGGCCAACCAATGGGCGCCACATCGCCATACACGTCAATGTGGAGCCCGACGGTTGGCCGTCCGGACATGAAGATGTCCGGATGTAAGTTTTTTTCCCGAAAAAGAAATAAATGTTCTTATTCAAACTGCCCTAACCTCTACTTCTCTAAATCACAATTCTATATTTCCTATTGATTTCAACATACCGACTGTCTTAAGTTGGTAAAATTCTGCTTACCTTGCCTAATGTTACCACTGTCTTAGATCTTACTATTTCAAATTGGTTTGTTCGTAATCGTTAAGAAGTTCCTACAGTTTTTATTTAAGAAGTCTATAGTCCTAATCTTGAGCAAATATACTTTGATATTCATTTCATTCAAGATGTTCCTACCATTGTTAGTGCTTCGAATCATTCCTCCTCTATTCCTCACATTTTTAAGACGAAGAAAGGTAGATCTAAACAGGGCAACTCAAAACACTAGTTTCGTTTAGGTTTTACTCAAATATTCTTGTTGAAAATGTTCGTGAGTTTAATAATGAGAGTTGTATTGTTAATTGCATAAAACTTGTTAAAAATAATAAGATTGATCTTATTTATCTTCATGAAGCTAAAGTTTTTCTCTCAATTTCCGGCATTTTTTATTAATTGTTTTAAAGGTTTTTCAAATAAAAATAGCATTGATAATTTTAATTATGTGGATAATGGATGTATAAGGGTGAAATGAAATCATGCTAATTTGACCTTCTTGTCCTAATATTAGGACTCAATATATCCATAGTCATGTTTCTTATTCCACATATGTTAACTTACGCATTATTGTTGTCTATGTTGATAACAATGCTCAAATTTGAAAAGATTTGTGGAACTCCATTATTTCCCTTGTTGACAATATGAATGGTGCTTGGATTCTTCTAGGGGAATTTAATTATATTCATGGATTAGAGTAAAAAATTTGTGGCTTATATTATATTCCTAGTAAGCTTATTGATTTAACAATTGTATTCTTTCTTCTGGTCTTTTGGAGATTCAAAACATGGTGATACCGGAACTAGTAGGATGAACCGTGGAACACAAAAGCAAACATTTATTAATGTAGAAATAGGATTACAACACGACTCAAACAAAAAGGGAATACAATAATAGGTGAATCCTCCGATTAGGGAGGTAGGAAGATGTTTGAAGGCGTTGGTGGAGTCGGAGGTGTGGTAGGGCAAGATGAGAGATGTTAGAGATTGTTTGAGTAGTTGTGATGGTGTTTGGTTGGTTGTAGGTAGGTAGGGTAACAAGGTTGTAGGGGAAGTATGAGTGGCGGTAGAATGGTGGAGGCGTATGGGGGTGGTAGGCAACTAAGAAGTGAAGGAGTTTAGAAGTTTACAACACCACCTCGGATCAAGATATAACCGAGACACCGTCTGTCATCGGATAAAACCCTAACAAGACAACTCCACTAGAACTGACTCTCCCAACATAAGGGACAACAATTTATATGCTCCCCCCAGACGGAGGAAGCTTCTACACAAAGGAAGAGACTGGTAAGGCAAGAAGAATCTAGAAAAAAACCCTTTCCAGAAAAGATGGACGAAGCAACCCCCTCGGATCGCGATAGTTCGTGATCCACCTCCATTCTTCACGCACGAGATCGTGATTTGTCCCAGCCCCTGTTCCTGCAATGCCTTTTGGGGTTTTTGGCCCCTGTGAAAGTTCCCGCGAAGTAACAAGGAGGTTCTAGCCCCAACAAGAATGAAGCGCCCTGTATTGGGGAGCAATCAGCGCCCGCACACGGATGTTGATTCAACAGTTCCTATGTCAGTCTCCTGGGGTTGGGGAAGCTTTGACCTCATTTTTTGAAGCTTCGAGATTCAAGGTATGGTATCAAGTCGGCAACGTTGAATGTGGCTGAAATGTTGTAGTCCCCAGGCAGATCGATTTTATAAGCGCTGTTGTTCAACTTCTGAAGTACTCTGGAAGGTCCATCTGTTCTTGGCTTAAGCTTCACAAATGATCCTATGGGAAATCTTTCCTTTTTTAGTTGAATCCACATATGAGATCCTTTCTTAAAATGTTACTTTCTTCCTGGATTTATTTGCTTGTACTTGATATTATGGTTTTGCTTAGTTATTTCCTTGCCAACTTATTCGTGGAGCTTCTAAATCTTGTGAACTCGTTATGTGGCGTCCTTGCTGATTTTCAAAGATGATATGAGTGGCACCAATTCAAGTGATATGACAAGATTGCATCCGTACACAATCTCGAAGGGAGTTCGTCTATAGTTTGGTTGATGGATCAGTTATAGGTGAACTCCACTTGGGCTAGAATAAGATCCCACTACCTTATGTTTTTTTCCCATGAAAAACCTCAAGATATCCCCGAGACTCCAATTTACGACCTATGTTTGGTGCCAAGCTTTCCCCATAGTGTCCTCAGAGGTGACTCGGGAATTTGGCGTCTCTGTTGAAGGTGATGGTCTTGGGAATTCCATGCAACCTTACAATCTCTCTGAAGTATAGATCGGGTATGTGAGAGGCGTCAAGTGTCCGATGATAGGGTACATAGCGGGCCATTTTAGAGAATATGTCTACTACGACCATTGCAGAGTCCTTATTCCTTTGGGTCTTTGGAAGTTTTAACATGAAATCCATGCTGACGTCCACCGATGGTGCCTCTGGTGCTGGAAGTGGTGTGTATAATCCTACATTCTAAGCGCTTGTCTTTGTCAAATGACAAATCTTGCATTGTCTGACATGTTGCTCAACATCTCTCATCGGCTTTGGCAAAAAAAAAAAAATGCTCCCTTACAAGGGCAAAGGCCTAGTCCCTGCTGAAATGACTTGCTAGTCGTTCGTTGTGGCCTCACTGGATAGTGGCCTCCTTTAGAGAACACAGTGGAATGCATGATTGACTCTGATGGAACATGTATCCATCTGTGCGATAAAATTTCCCTACTGGCTACACCTGACATTTTTCCCTTGTGTCCTTGAAATCTTTGTCTGTTTCATATAGATCTTTTATGACCTCGAAGCCCATAACTCGAGTCTGCATGGATGTGACAATAGGTGTCGACGACTTAGTGTATTTGCTATGAGGATATGGCTTCTTGTCTTGTGTTTTAGTACAAATTGAAATGAAGCTAGAAATTCCACCGGTTGGTCTTTCATCCCTTTAATTTGCTCTGGTTGTTGAGAAATTTTAGGGTCTCATGATCTGTAAATAGTGTAAAGTTGTTTGTCAATAGATAATGACTCAAGTGTTTCACAGCTCTTACAATGGCGTAGAATTCTTTGTTGTAAGTTGAGTATTTCCTCCTGGACTCGTTCAACTTCTCACTTAAAAAGGAAGTGGGGTGTCCTCCTTCGCTCAGTACTTCTCCGAACCCCATGTCGAAGGCATCCCATTCTACCTCGAAAAGTTGGTTGAAGTCAGGTAATGCTAGCACGAGTGCCAAGTCACCTTTGCTTTCAGTGTGTCAAAATTTTCCTAGGCTGCTACCATCCACGTAAACTCATTTCCTTTCGGAAGTTCAGTTAGAGGGCGGGTGATAGTGTTGAAGTTTCTGATAAATCATCGATAGAAGGAGGCCAAACCTATAAATTGTCTTAGCTCAGTGAATGATTGTGGTACGACCCAACTGATAATGGCCTCTATCTTTACGAGATCCATCTGAATGCATGCACTAAATGCAATGTAACCTAGAAAGCATACCTGGCTTGTCATTAAATGACATTTCTTTGGATGGACATATAGTTGCTCAGCTCACACTACCTTAAAAACTGCCTTTAGGTGATGCAAGTGATCTTCCTCCGACCGACTGTACACTAGAATATCGTCAAAGTAGACGGCAAAATTTCCAATGTGAGGTTGAAATATCTGGTTCATTAATATCATAAAAGTGCTAGGTGTGTTCAACAGACCGAAAGTCATAAGGTCTACTCATAAAGTCCATCCCTCATCTTGAAGGTGGTCATCTACTCGTCTCTTGTCCTCATCCGTATTTGGAGATATCCACTGCACAGGTGTAACTTGGAGAAGTTAGTTCCATGTAACTGATCCAAGAGATCATCCAAGCGAGGTATGAGAAATCATTACTTGATGGTAATCTTGTTGATGGCTCTACTGTCGAAGCACATTCGCCATGATCCATTCTTCTTGGGCACCATCAACGCAGGGACTCCACATGGGCTGGTGTTTTCTCTAATTAAATCTCTTATCACGAGGTCTTGAATCACTGCTCCTCGCACACTAACCCTTCTGAATCACTACTCCTCGCACACTCCTTCACCTCCTACGACACCGTTTCGGGCTATCATAGGCATCTTTTTGGATACATGGCTCTCACCGAGCTCGGGTCAGGCTCCTCAGCCTCC